GCAAAAAAAAAAAAAATTAAGCCAAAAAAATTCAAAATTATATAATCTTAATAAAGTATTATAAAAAAAACTAAAACAACTTCATTAATATTCTAAAAATTATTATAGTTTAATCTTTTTCAATAGAAATTAATTAAAATGAAGTAATTTAAAGATTTTTTTTGCATAATTTTTTTGCAAGTTGATAAACATTTTTTCATAAAAATATTACCTAAATATATTGCATACCCAGAATTGAAGCCACAATTATAAACAATGAACGTCTTAAAATATAATGGTATATTAATCCTTTGACACATCCAAAATAATAATATGTATTTGGTTCGTAACCTTTGGCGACATGTATCAATTTAGTTTGCATAATATTCTAGTACGAAATTGAGTATTTGATTCATATGTAAGGGCTGTGAATTATGAATAGATGATATCCATTATTTATGCATCTAGTAATGTTAGAAAAAAAATAGCCACGTAACACTCTCCGAAAGTCACAAATTTTCAATCAGTTTCATAATGGAGTCTGTTTGAATTGTGATGGGAATGGTAAGAACAAATACACACCTCATTTCATTGGCCAAAGCAGTTCTTGATTTGTCTGAGATGATTCGAAGTGCTAAGTGATGATAAGAACAGCTCAACCATCATGGGGAAAAATTGAAAGATTTCTTTCATTGCCAGGGTCACCCTGTTTCTGAATGTTGATATTAAAGAAAGGACACCTACTAACTGTCAGTCACATGGATCAAAATCCCAAAATATGCAGGGATGATTTTACACGAGATAAAACTAAAACTCACCATTTTGGAAGATAACAGATATGTTGGACTCGAAAATAATAATTCCTAACTACAAAAAGAGAGCCATGTGTTCTTCCAGGATACGTCTAGCAGCTGCTCAGCTGCTGGAACTTGGAATCTCCATCTTGTTAGCTCTTCTTGATCTCCAGTCTCATCATCATTAGGAAGTTCAATGGCTGTCCATCATTTTTACTATGTAGTTCTTTCTCACTGAAGAATAGGTTCCTTTGAACAGGCACACTTCTTTGCTGCTGGGATGAGATTACTTTTGTGATTGTTGTGGCTTCAAGTGCTGCAAATATGCCTAACTATTATTAGCCACTGTCTCTTAATCTATCCCATGAATGGTATGTGATTCTGACAAGCCATCCTCAGCCTCAGGTTGATGAGGGAGGAACAATGAAGGGCAGTCTGCTTCTTTGCCGGTCATGGAGGACCATCTTTGCTGCAGTCATCAGATCTGGTTTGCCCCCTGGAGGTGGAGATTGATCATTCACAGAAGCATATACTTCAGTGAAAATTCACAATTGAAAGCAACAAAGATATGGATTCATGTAAGGAAAGCTAATTACAAAATATTGTTGCTGAAATTCATTTAAAATCAGAAATATGATAACAATATATGGAAGGCTAGTTACAAAACTGCGTAGTAGCTTACCAGTCCTTCATCTTACACACTCCTTCCAAGTGCTCCATCTTTACAAACTCTAAAACTTCAATATGTTTAGGAGGATCCTCCAAGTTTGTGACACATACCTGGAAGAAGGTCAAAATCCACTTTTACATACGCATATGGGAGATTCTCTATTGCACTTAAATACATTATGCAACTTCACCAATGTAGTGAAATTTATATTGTTTAGAGACAGTCAAAACTGAAATTAATTATTGAACAAAAAGCCAATAAAGATGGTTGAATTGAAGCATAACTTTGTCTAAAAGGTAAAGTAAGCCCTGGTTGTTGTTTTAAATTTGAGCTCCTTTTATATGTATCAGTTCCAGCAAAAGGTTTAGTTCAAGGACATGGTATAAACTGGAGACAAAGTTCAAACTATGAATCTTGAATGACTGCATGCATAATCTTGTCAAAAAAGGTTGTACGTAGGAAAAATGGCATGCTGGTTAGAATATATATACCTCAGCTACTTTTGGAATATATGGTAAGAACTAAGAATTACATCATAACACCACGGCAAAATGGTCCCATTTGTTTATGATTATTACATCATCAACTCTGTATCCAAAATCTATATTAGTATTACTGATTTTGTTCCCTGGTATATGTTTTGTTTGTCTTCATCAATATCAATATGCTCATTTAAAAAGAAACAAGTTCATAAGAACTGTTCTTTCACATCATTTGACATGTCATAAAAATTAAATTCTGCTCTTAAGAGTAACTAAATATCAAATGACGAGATTAGGTATTCAAACAAAGCTATGCCATTGGAATTTTTGCTAAAGGCTAAAGTAAAAAGAAGGAGCAACCAAATACCATTTTGCATTGTGTAAATTAGTAGCGGTTTAGTTGCTTCTCATCACCAACATGCTTTTCTAACTCAGCACCAATGGCACAAACACAGCCTGACCACAGAAATGTAACTCTATCCAAGGATGGAAATTACAGTTTTCTTTTCAGGTAGGAATGATCATTGATGATGTTTAGCTGTTAGTCCAATCAAAAAAACATGAATACGAACCAAAACGTATAAATCAAACTACTCTTTTGTAGTATTATGTCTATCACTAATAGGGTGTAAAAAAAGGTTATATAGTAATATCTCACAATTTTAGCTAAAATGCTTATTTATTGCAATAAAAGCAAAGATGCAGATGCAGAGAAAGAAATACCATTAGAAATAAGACAAATCCTTCCACATAGGATTGAAATACAAAATTACACAGATAAAGAAACAAACATTTTCGCTTAAAATTTGACATATTTAAAATCACAACACACCAATATATATATATATATATATATCAAGCCTATGTATATTAATTTGAAAACCCAACAACAAGAATAGGTGCAAGCAAATGTGATTTCCACCGGCTTTCTTGGGGTAATAGAGTCCAACTTCAGCTTTGCTACCAATGGGGAGAAGAAACAAAAGATATTGAAAAGAAAAGACAGTAGTGAGAGAGAGAGAGAGATTTGTTGACATAGAAGGGAAGAAGGAAAGCATAAAAAAGGAAAACTCCTAGTGAGTTGAATCAGAATCAGAATCAGAAATGGAAAATTGAAACTGAAAAGTCTTAATGTTGCCCCACCCAATCACCAAGGAGCCTGCACTCCTTTGCTTCATGGCCATCGCCAACTGAACTTGACAGAAGGTAGAAAGACATCCTTTGTAGTGGGTTGGTCCCATTCCAATGATTCCCAGCATTCTTCTGGGTATACCTGAATTCGTTTGAGGGAAGGACGCTGGCCATTGTCAAGCGAGGAAAGATGCAGAGGAATCCTCTTTAGCTTCTCACAGTCGCCAATCTCCAGACTCTTGATGGAATCACAAATCAACACATTGGAACTGCTACAGATGCTCTTCAATTCAGGCAATAGCGTCAATTCCAACCTTTGTAAATTGGATAGAGTGATTTTTTCTAAGGCTTCTATTTCTTCATAGGTCGATGATGATATCAGCTCCTCCATTTGGTCACAGGACTTAACACCAATAGTCTCTAGAGATTGGAAGTAGCCAAGTAGGCTTCCAGATGAGAATACTTTCTTTAGTTTAGAGCACCCATACACATGAATTGTTTTAAGAGAAAAAAAGGTGGTGGGAGGGGCCGATAAACCAAGAGCTTCTTCATCGAACACGGATTTCAGATTCTCTACCTTGTAAAGGTGTAGATACTCAAGGGTTGGAAGTGGGTTGAACCGGAACCAAAAAACAATCTCTATTTCTCGGCACTGCACAATTTCAACCCTTTTGATGGAATCACAGATCAAAACAGTACTGGAACCACTGTAGATTCTCTTCAATGCGGGCAAATCCTTCAATACCAACCTTTCTAACTTGGGTAGAGTGAGTTTTTCTAGGGCGTTTTCTCCTTCATATTCGGACCATGTTATCCCTCCATTTGATCACACCACATAACCTCAATAGTCTGTAGATTCCAGAGATACCGCAATAACTGAAGCGATAATAACTTCTTTATTTTTGTACAACGCGTAATATTAATAATTTGAAGGGAAGAAAAAGTGCCAGCTGGCAGTGGTGCTGACTGAGCAACTGCTCCTACTTCCCCAAACACTACATTCAAGTTCTTCAAACCGTCAAGGTATAGCGACTCAAGGTTTTGAAGCCGCTTTAAGCAGCTTGAGGAAACAACAAACTCCAAGCCATCACATTTCCGAACGGTGCAATGCTGTAAGTCGGTTGCATCTTGAAAGCCAGAAATGTCGTCCAAGCTTCTCACATCCTTACAGTCGAAGATGTAGAAGCCTTGTGCATCAGATGGTAACCAACTAAGCTCCTTACAAGTATCAATATGACAGCATACAATTAATTTCATAGCACTTGAAAGGGTTTGGGTATAAAAGAATCCATCACTTTCATCGTAACTTCCAACAAAAATTCTGTACCGATTTAGAATCTCTCTCCCGGACTTGACAAAGAGGCTCATATCATCCACCGTAGAGAATAGGCCATCAAGAGATTCCAACTTCCTCAATCTTCCAATCTCCTCCCATTTCAATGGTATCCTCCAATCTACTCTTAAATAATGAAGTTTGGAAAAGTTTTGCAGCAGTCCATCAGGTATTTCAGATAATCCACCACCAAGCAAAAGATGTTTTAGATTGGTTAACATGTTGAGGCCTTGGGGTAGTTCTTCAATTGGTGTCCCAAAAAAGTTTAACTTTTTTAAGCCCCTGAGGTTGGATAAAGATGGTACCTCTTTTAAGGACTCGCAATTCTCCAACAGTAGTGTAGTAAGATTCTCCAATTTGGAAACAGAACTCCGCAGCGTAGCTAGGTGCTTATTGTTGGATAGATCAAGGATCTTCAGCCCAAGCATCTGATCAAAAAAAGCTTCAGAAATTGTTGTAATATTGTTATTGGACAACAACAAGGTTGTGAGCATTGGACACTTGGGAGACGACGTGCTTGAAATTTCTCTTATGTTATTATTCATTAGGGAAACCTTCAAAAGGTCTTCTCTCCATTCATGCTCCTCAGGTAGCTCTTCCAAGGCCATGCCAGCTGTCACCATGAATTGAGGACTGATACTCAACGCCATTTCTCGGAGAAGATCATGCATACTCACGCAATCTTCTTTGAGTTTACTTTTAACCAAAACAAGCACATTCGACCAACCTTCGAAGCCTATACCTTTAACCAATACAAGCACATTCGACCAACCTCCGAAGCCTATACCTTTAACCAATTCCAGCATGCAATTGTCTATCAACTTCTCAAAAATAACATGGCCCTTACGAATCATTGAGTGCCGAGATCCCCCTTCATCTCTTATAAATCCCTCCTCAATACATAACTCAATCAAGTCCTCTTTTATGATTTCATAATCCTCAAGATACAATGCACAACATAAGAAACACTTCTTATATTCTTCTTTTAAGTGATCATAACTGAATTTCAAACAATCAGCAATTTCTTCAAATTTGCTCAATTCTTCATCTGCCCATCTCCCATGAGTAGCGATCAAACTTTCCCCTCATGGTTTTTGCCACTACCTTAGTAGCAAGGGGTAGGCCGTTACATTTCTTCAAAATTGGATTCAAGAAAGGTTCTATATCACTTTTATATCTGGGATAAGACACCACCTTACTTCCAACTTCGTCCAAGAATAATGCTGATGCTTTATCATTTGGAAGAGGCTCCACATAGATCACCTCACACTTCATTGCACAATCAAAACCAACCTCTTCTTGTCCTTCTTAGACATGGTTCACCCCCATATAGGCTTACTCTTAACCTTCTTAAACATGCTGTACCTGAATCCATGTCCTTCACTTCCTCCACTGAAAATAGAGGCACCATACTTCTGCTCGAAGGCACCTGCAGAGGTTAACACCATAACACCATGACACCATGTTGCCATTGGCTTATGATTATTACATCATCAACTCTATATCCAAAATCTGTATTAGTATTATTGATTTTGTTCCCCGGTATATGTTTTGTCTTCACCAATATCAATATTCTTTTTAAAAAGAAACAAGCTTGTAAGGACGGTTTTTTCCCACATCATTTGACACGTCATAAAAATTAAATTCTGCTCTTAAGAGTGACTGAAGATCAAATAACAAGACTAGATATTCAAACAAAGCTATGCCATAGGAATTTTCCTAAAGTCTAAAACAAAAAAAAAAAAAAGGAAAAAAAAAATTGAGCAACCATTTTGGATTGTGTAAATTAGTAGCGATCCAGTGGCTTATCATCATCAGCATGCTTTTCTAACGCAGCACCAATGGCACAAACATCAGCCTGGCCACAGAAACACAACCACGCATGCCGATATCCAAGGATGGACATTACAATTTTCTTTTCAGATAGGAATGATCATTAATGATGTTTAGGCATAAGTACAATTAAAAAAATATATAAATACGAAATTTACGAAATCGTATAAATCAAACTACTCTTTTGTAGTTCTTGGGGTTTTTGGGGAAGGGGTGAAGGGACGACTTGGAGGAGGAGAGGCACTCGGTGTTACCTTATTTAGTGAGGTGAGAACCCATTTTTCTTAATTCATTTTCTGTCATTAAATTGCAGAAATCTTGTAATACATAAACAGTAATGTCTACCTAACACACTAACTTCTGCCTAATACAATAAAATCTATCAAACATTTAAAACAAGATTACATTCAAAAGATTTGCTGTCATTTTGTGTAAGTCCATGTGGCTGTCACTTTGCTTCTATTGTCTGTGCAGCTCCCACTTCATTTCATTTGCTGCCAACTGTTGCAGCTTTGACACCACAACTCCAACAGTTGTATTATGACCACCACTAGTATGGTGTAAAACAAATTCATATAGCAACATCTCACAATTTTAACTAAAATGCCTGTTACAAGAAAAGCAAAGATGCAGATGCAGAGAAAGAAATACCACAGGAAATAAGACAGATCCTTCCACAGAGGATTGAAATACAAAATTACACAGATAAAGAAACAAACATTTCCTTAGAATTTGCCATATTTAAATCACAACACACACAAAAAAATAGCAAGTCTACGTATATTAAATTGAAAACCCAACAACAACAGGTACAAGCAAATATGATTTCCGCCGGCTTTCTTGTGGTAACAAAGTCCAACTCCAGCTTTGCTGCCAATGGGGAAGAAACAAAAGATATTGAAAAGAAAAGACAGGAGTGAGAGAGAGAGATTTGTTGAGATAGAAAGGAAGAAGGAAGCATAAAAAATTAAAATTTCTACTGAGTTGAATCAGAATCAAAATTAGAAATGGAAAATTGAAACTAAAAAGGCTTACATTTGCACCGCCTAATCACCAAAGAGCCTGCACTCCTTTGCTTCTTAGCCTATCCTTTGCATTGGATTGGTCTTATTCCAATGATTCCCAATGTCCTTTTGTGTCTACTTGAATTTGTTTGAGGGAAGAAGGTTGGCCAATGTCAAGCGAAGAAAGATACAGAGGAATCCTCTTTAGCTTCTCACAGTCCACAATTTCCAAACTCTTGATAGAATCACAAATCAACATATTGGAACTGCTACAGATGCACTTCAATTCAGGCAATTCCTTCAATCCCAACCTTTGTAACTTAGGTAGAGGGATTTTTTCAAGGGCTTCTTTTTCTTCATAGGTCGATGATGATATCAGCTCCTCCATTTGGTCACAGGAATAAATTTGCATAGCCTCTAGAGACTGGAAGTGGCCAAGCAGCCATCCAGATGAGAATACTTTCTTTATTTCATGGCACCTAAACACATCAATTGCTTTAAGAGAGAAAAAGGTGTTGCGAGGTGCTGCTAAACCAAGGGCTTCTTCATCAAACACTGATTTCAGATTCTCTAAACTCCCTAGCAGCAGATACTCAAGGGTTGGAAGTGGGTTGAACCCAGTCCCAAAAACACTCTCTATTTCTCGGCACCTTTTAATTTCAATTGCTTTGATGGAATCACAGATCAAAACAGTACTGAAGCTGCTGTAGATGCTCTTCAATGCAGGCAAACCCACCAATGCCAACCTTTCTAACTTGGGTAGAGTGAGTTTCTCTAGGGCTCCTTCTCCTCCTTCATATTCAGACCATATTATCTCCTCTAATTGATTACAATCTCTCACCTTAATAGTCCGTAGATTATGGAGATACTGCAACAACCTAAGTGGTAATAACTTCTTTATCTTTCCACATCTCCAAACTCTAATTTTTTGAAGAGAAGAAAAAGTGCCAACGGGCAGTGGTGCTAACTTAGCAACTACTCCTACTTCCCCAAACATTGCATTCAAGTTACTCAAATTATAAAGGTACAGTGACTCAAGGTTTTGAAGTGGCTTTAAGCAGTTCGAGGAAACAACAAACTCCAGGCCATCACATTCATCAACAGTGCAGTACCGCAAGTCGGTTGCATCTTGAAGGCTAGAAATGTGGTTCAAGCTTTTCACACCCTTGCAGTCAAAGATATAGAAGCCTTGTGCATCAGGCGGTAACCAATTAGGCTCCTTGCATATATCAATATGACAACATACAATTATTTTCAGAGCAATTGAAAAGGTTTTGTTATAATTGTATGCATCATTTTCATTGTAACTTCCAACAAAAATTCTGTACCAATTTGGAAACTCACTTTCAGACTTGATAAAGAAGCTCATGTCATCCACCGTAGAGAACCGGCCATCAAGAGATTCCAGCTTCCTCAATCTTCCAATCTCCTCCCATTTCAACGGTATACTCAAATCTACTCCTAAATACTGAAGTTTGGAGAGATTTTGTAGCATTTTACCAGGTATTTCAGATAATCTACCACCAAGTCGAAGATATTTCAGATTGGTTAACATGTTGAGGCTTTGGGGTAGTTCTTCAATTGATGTCCCAGAAATGTTTAACTTTTTTAAGCCTCTAAGATTGGATAAAGATGGTACCTCTTTTAAGGACACACAATTCTCCAGCAGTAGTGTAGTAAGATTCTCCAATTTGGAAATAGAACTCGGTAGTCTACCTAGTTTGTAATTTCTGGAAAGATCAAGGATCTTCAGCCCAGGCATATGATAAAAAAAGGCTTCTGGAATTGTTGTAATATTGTTATTGGACAACAACAAGGTTGTGAGCATTGGACACTTGGGATACGACATGCTTGAAGGAATTTCTCTTATGTTATTATTCATTAAAGAAACCTTCAAAAGATCTTCTCTCCATTCATGCTCCTCCGGTAGCTCTTCCAAGGCCATACCAGCTTTCATCATGAATTGAGGACTCATATTCAGTGCCATTTCTCGAAGAAGATCATGCATAATCACCCGATCTTCTTTGTTTTTGTTTTCAATTAGTTCATGGATACTCAGCCAATATCCTTTGTATTTTTTTTTAACCAATTCCAACATGCAATTGTCTATCAACTTCTCAAAAATAACATGGCCCTCACAAATCATTAAGTGCCGAGACCCCCTTTCATCTGTTATAAATCCCTCCTCAATCCAAAACTCAATCAACTCCTCTTTTGGAATTTCATAATCCTCAGGATACAATGCACTGTATAAGAAACACTTCTTGTATTGTTCTTCTAAGTGATCATAACTGAATTTCAAGTGATCAACAATTTCTTCAGATTTGCTCAATTCTTTATCTGCAATCTCCCATGAGTAAGGATCGGATTTTCCTCTCATGGTCTTTGCCACTACCCCAATAGCAAGAGGTAAACCATTACATTTCTTCAAAATTTGTTTCAAAAATGGCTCAATATCACTTTTGAATCCAGGATAGGAAAGCACAGCACTTCCAACTTTATACAAGAATAGTGCTAAGGCTTCATCATCTAGAAGAGGCTTCACTTGGATCACCTCACACTCCATTGCACGAGCAACCTTTTGTTGTAACCGTGTCGTGAGCACTAACTTGCAACCATTATTTCCAACTAGATCAGGGATTCCAACATCTTCTAGAGAAAAAGGCTCCCACACATCATCCAGAATTAAGACACAACTTCCTTGTTGCAATGTATCTGATAGCAGTCCTGCCAGCTCCGTTGCATCTTGATCCTCATTCTTCAAATCTAATCCCAATTTTCTTGCAATGCACTTCTGAAACTTGAGAATATCAAACTGTTTTTTTTGCCGGACAACAATATCAAAGTCCTTTGATAATTTAACCCAAACAACTTTAGCAAATTTGGGTTCTTTCAATAGTTTGTTGTGGACTTGCTTGATGATTGTTGTCTTGCCTACACCACCCATTCCACAAACTGAAATTCTTGTAACCTTGTCTTCCCTCAGCAGTTGCAGAATTTCTTCTTGTACATTATCCCGGGCAATGCATTTTTCTACCAGCAGTGTAACTCCTTTTTTTGGGTGACCATCTACTACCAAACTCACACCAGCTTTAGTGAATTCTTTTCCTTTCTGAAGTATTCGCTTCAATTCTTCAATCCTTTCCTCGAGGTTGGTTGATGAGGAACCTTCCCCTTGGCTGATCAAATCTTCAATCTTCATGGTAATTTGGTGGCTTACTTTCTCTAGCCAGTCTTCAACATCCTTCGAGGCAATCTTTCTAGGTTGCCTAAGCTGAGTCTTCAAATTTGCCTCAATTTTTTCCTTTCGGTACTTCAGCTGCTTTTGCTTCTCTTCAAATGCACTCACACAATACTGGATTGAGTGATCATCTACGACCAAACTCACACCATCATTAGTGAATTCTTTTCCTTTCTCAAGTATTCGCTTCAGTTCTTCAATCTTTTCCTCAATGTTGGTTGATGAGGAACATTCCCCTTGGCTGATTAGATCTTCAACCTTCATGGCAATTTGTTGGCTTGCTTTCTCCTGCCAGTCTTCAACTTTCTTCCAGGCAATCTTTCCAGGTTGCATAAGCTGAGTCTTCAAATTTGCCTCAATTTTTTCCCTTTGGTGCTTCACCTCCTTTTGCTTATCTTCAAACACACTCGCACAATATTGGATTGAGTGATCATCTACAACCAAAACCACACCAGCATTAGTGTATTTCTCCCCTTGCTTAAATATCCCTTCATTTAGTGCTTTAGTCTTTTTATCGAGCTTTCTTGATGAGCAAATGTATGTGAAACAGCCCCCTTTGCAGATCAGATCTTCAATCATCACTTCGACAATTTCTTGGTGTGCTTCCTCTAGCCAAGTTTCAACTTCTTTATTTGTAATCTTTCCGGGCTGCTTCAGCTGTGTCTTCAAGTTTGCAACAACAACATCTTGTCGGTCTTTCAGCTGCTTTTGCATTTTTTGGAAATCACTCACATAATTGTTGTGATGTATCTGATACTTGACATATTTTCGAACTGTAGGACCAAAATCCTTCACAAAACCAATGATTGAATTTGCGATGTCCATTGGTGAGTCCCTGCATAAATATATATGAAATTGTTGGCAGGGTGAGAAAATGTATGTTTTGATATATAAGATGGTACAAACTTAATCATCTTAGTAAAGGGATCATACAATTAATAAGAGAAAGTTTAGTTTCACAATATTTTTTAGTGCTTTAATATATATTTTTTTCATTATTTTAAAAATATATAAAATATTAATTAAAATAAATATTATATAATATTATATATTTTTAAAGTATTAAACAATCAAAAGACCTAAAACTACAACTATAGGCCAGCATTAGTTTGATATGCTAAATAAAAGAAAGAAAAAGATTAATTAAATTGGACTCCTATTCATAGTTAAGGAATGGCGTGCAATGCTAAATGAAAATAAATTATGTAGTAATATTTTTTTAAACTAAGTTAAAATATTACTAACCTTGTCTAAAATTAGTTTTCTTTTTTACACACATCTAATAGAATATAAATAAAAATTGAAATATTTTTTTCATATTATAATTTTTGTTAAGTAGTTTTATTTGATAAAATAAATTTTATTTATTATTTATTTACTACAATATATATAAAAAAAAAATAGGGGCTACTAACTATTCAAGTAGTTCATTGATAATCTTCTATAAAATTAAGATGTTTTAGGTTCGAATTGCATAA